CATTAATCTTTTAGTTCATCAATTTTTTCTTTGTTTGTTTTTGTTTTTCAAGACCAAAAAAATATGAAGAACTTTTTTCTCCTTTTTCGATCTAACGTGCTCTTGATCTTATATAAGGTCCCTTAGCTTTCCCTGAAAATAGTTGATTTAATTGAGATTTCAATGGCTGTAATTTTGTTGAGTTTTCTTGTGATTCTTGTGTATTGTCTCGCAATGTGTTTATTTCATAAATCAGTTCACTCTGTTTTTGTTTTCTCCTTAATGACAAAAATTTACCTATACCCACTGCTTTTCTTTTGACCTTAAATTTAAACCATTTCCATTTATTTAAACTTGGCATATCTAGTTTTTCAATCCCATCAATGAGAGCCAGCACCTTTTAATTGTATCATTGTTTAACAAGTCATTATTAAACTTTCAAATATTGTATGCTTTTTGAGGCTTCTTAAGCACTGTTAAGGACAGAGTAACCATACAATGATCTGTAAAAGGGGGGACTGAAATTTTACATTCTATAACATTTTTACATAATTCACCAGAAATTAGCCAATAATCTAATCTTTAATAATGTTCATTTCTTGAAGAATTAAACAATGTGTATTGAAAACTTTCTGGGTAAGTTACCCTGCAGCAATCAACCACATTTGTATCTTTACATAAATTTAATATAACATCATTATACACAGAATGTGAACCTCTCTAAGGTTTTATATCTTGCCATAAATCAACAACTAAATTAAAGTCTCCCCCTATTATTACATTTTCTGTATTATATATATTTTTTTCCATTCATTAATCATATTAATAACTTTCTGAAACATTTCTCTATTGGCCACTTTGTTGTTATATCCATAAATACAAAAGTATAATATAACAATTATCATGAATTTCTACTGCTGCCATTAACCAGTAGCCTTTTGCATCACCTTTATGCGCAATTACAGAACCTTCAAATCTGTTAAATAAAATCATCACTCCAGCCGAATGTGAACCATGTGCAAATAAGGCTAAGTCACTCCATTGAATTTTCCAAAATCTTTCATCATTTAAGGCAGAATGAGTGTCTTGTAAGCAAACACAGTTCACTTTTTGTTTCTTGTAAAATAAGAAAATAGCTTTTCGCTTAACACTTTAACCCCCTAACATTTAACGAAAGAAAAGCGATAGACATAGTTTTAATAAACAAATAGCCAAACTCTCAGAACACACACTCCACTTTTAGGTGCAGGAGTGAATTTGTTGTCTTTGTCCTTAACCTATCAAAAACCAAACCATATCAGCTAAGTCAAATATTATTACTTTAAGTTAAACACCTTATTCTTTCTACTTTTAACCATTTATTTCCATCTCATATTAGGCCTTTTTATTTATTTTCATTAGTGCTTACTTGTAACCTTTTTATTTATTCATTTTTTTCCAGTAACGGGTCAACTCTGAGTCCATCAATAAGTGCATAGTCTTCTTTTAGAAAGGCTCTCTTCCCCATTCTTCTAGCTTCTTGCACTTTTGGCCACAACTTTGCAAGAGCTTCGCGATCTTCCTTAGAGAAGTCTTCCTTAAATTGAATGTTCATCTCCTTACACACTCTGGCATCTCTAGATTTTTTTCCACACTTCATCTCTCACAGTCTGCATTGCAAACTGTATAATTACTAGTCTAGCTTGTTTGTGGCAGCATAATTTCTTCTTCCTAACCGATGCACCATATTCACCGATTGCCAGAGTGTTTCCACTGATCTCAGAATTAGCCGGGTAAGAATTCCAATCACCGTTTCTCTAACGTCTTCGTTTTCTTTTTCTGTAAGAACCGATCATTCTAAGATTCCACCTTCTCTTGTACCTGGCATGCTCCAAGCATTGCTGTCTCAGGGAGTTGTTCTCTTTTCTCATGTCTGCTACTTCCTTTTTTAGTTCGCCGATTTCTTCCGTATTCTCTTTTACCACACATGCATTTTCTTCCATTGACTTTTCAATTTTTTTCATCCATTGATTTTGCTCGTCAAATCTTTTAATTAGAGTTTTGAATTACATCGAAAATTACTTTATTTGTTATTTCATTAGCTTGTTTACCTCTCCATCTGTCCTTTGCCTTTGTTTTTGCTTTCTTTGGATTTAGACTAGGTAGCGGTGTATGGCCGTATTCAGTTTTGACATTTTCTTGGATCATATCTTCAATTTCCTCTTGATCACAGGCCTCTTCTAGGGCATGCAAGTTGTGACCATGATCCTTTACAGGAACCTTTACAGGAAATTGGGTGAAAAAACTTGTGATGCTCCTGTAACTGTTCCTCAAGATGATTTAACTTAAAGTCACTTGACTACTAGTTAAGTTTTTTTTATCAATATTAAAATTAGGACATTTTTGAACTATTATTCACAGAGCCTGCTTTAATGCAACCGCTCACTATGCAATCTTGAACCTCCCCCCCAAATGTAAACATCCTAATGTTTAATTCAACATAATCTGTTTATCACACACCACGCTGCTGATTTGCTCTGCTGGGGCACCATCGTTGCGCCATCATGCATGTACTGAAATTGCGCTAGGGATGGGTCGTTCTTGAACGATTTCTGCGCACATTTGTGCAGGTAGTATCATTAATTTCAAGTCTTCATTACATTGGCAGAAGCCAATCATACGCGTTTAGAGCCGGAAAAAGAATTGATCCGCTCACCTCTCGAGTCCCCTATCGGGTCTATGTCACTCGTTCATCACAAGCCAATCATACGCGTTTAGAGTCGGAAAAAGAATTGATCCACTCCTCTTTCGAGTCTTCTATCGCGTCTGAGTCACTCGTTCATCACGGGCCAATGATATGCGTTTAGAGCCGGAAAAAAAAAATTTAACCGTTCATCTCTCGAGTCCTCGGGTTTGAGTCATTCTGTCACATGATGAACGAACGATCATGGCTCCTATCGGCTTAGACTGTGCATTGACTAAGATTATATGTGACTGTCAGTGTAACATGAATGAACCCCTGACATTTAAAGACATGAAGAGGTGAGCTGAGCAAAGAGAAAACAATACCTTCATAGACAAAACAGCAGGTCAACATTGAATTATTATTTTCTCCTTCTTATATTCTATTTATGACTTATTTGTTGTGCAATCAACCCTTTGGGCTAGTTGTAGATGTATTTGCAAGCAATTCGTAACATTTTAATAATATTTTGGCAAATTGAACCAAATGAACGAAATGACTCGAAAAAAGATTTGTTCATCTTGATGAACGAGACTCAAAGATCCGAGTCAGTAAAATTATCCGAACTTCCCATCAATAATTTGCACATTCGCTGTGAAGGGGGAACAGGGGGAACTGAATTCTCCAGAACACTGTTTTGGTATTTGCCGTGATTTCAAAATAGAAGTCTCTGAAAGTCAACTTTACGTAATGGTCTTTTGCACAATGGTTTTATCTGTTTAAGGGCTAGTAATTGCTAGAATATTTTTTTTACATAATGCAGGCAGTTAAATCATCAAACACTATCTTTGATTTTTTTTTAAACCGTTTTTTTTAATACTTAAATATTGGAAACATGTAACCGTTGACTTCCATAGGATCTGTCTTTCCTACTATAGAAGTAAGTGGTACAGGTTTTCAGCTTTCAAAATATCTTCTTTTTTTTGTGATCAACAGAAGAAAGAAAGTCATAAAGGTTTGGAACCACTTGAGAGTAAAAATATTCTGACCTGTCAATGAGAAAAGGCACATTTTATTTACATATGAGGAATATTCATCCTGTAGAAGAAAAAAAAATTTGAAAAATGTAAGTTTGTTCACACATGCTCAACTTATTATGGATACAATCTATATTTGTTAGATGGTATGCAGTTCACTACCCAGGGGTATGCAATTGTAACTGAGTATTCTATATTATGTTATATTAAAAATCATATGGTACATTTTAAAATGTACATGATTAATAAACATGATTTAAACTTTTGCATTATTTCCCCAGCATATATGCATCAGCCCTCAGCGTCTCTGAAAGGAATACTGGAGGTCATCACAGGCTCGACTGGGTCTTTCTAGATCCTTCGAGCGGGTTTACAAGGATGAGGCTGTCAGCATCTTTTTACACAGCATTCACAATTTAGCACACATTAAAGGCATAATAGTGTGGTACCCATATAAATGTTGTCCAACTTACTGTCAGACGTGATATGATAATTAATAGTTTTAAAGGTGTAAAACAAAGATGACACTGATTCCTACAATGACCCCAGTGACAGACCAGTCACCGCATGGAGGCCGCGGGCTGGTCATATGACCCGCTGGTGACCACTTGAGATCTGCAGCTTCGCGCCACAATGGGACGTCCATCGTTCTTTAGCCTCCGGCGCCCAGATTGCAGCTCTTCACAAGACGTTTGGCCAGAGGAGATACTTTTGTGCTCAGCCGAGACTGGTTTATCTCCAGGTGTTTTTTTTTTCCTCTACTTGTATTGATTGCTGAAGTTCCTTGCCCCTATTGCCACTCACTTAGCTTGTGACCAGTGGAGCTGCAGATCGGTGGAGTCGCTCTACAGAGTTTCGATGTTCAGCGGTGACATATACATTACAGTGAACCAAACTAAACCGAACTTTAACTGTGTTCAACCGTTTTTTAATTTACTAGAACTTCATCTGTTAACTTCACCACCATGTGCAATGTGGTAACAATGTAGTTTACATTTCTCTTTGGTTTGCGGATTGATTTGCATTTTATGTTTGTGGCTCTATATATACTGTACATGTTTGTTGTGATGTTTTTTTTTTCTTGTTTATGTTTTTATTTTTCATGTAAAGCCTAACCAGGGACAAGAGCTGCAAATTAGTTTTGTGCTTTATGCCCTATTTATGAGACATCAGTTGTCTTTGTATAACAATATCATGTGTATTGTCTCTGTTAAATAAACAAGCAAATAAAATAAATAAAAAATATGTTAAGCTGCTTTGACACAATCTACATAGTAAAAAAGCATTCTAAAAATCAAGACAAACTGAATTCGAATGGAATGATGATGATGGTGTATCTGTTCACAGCAGCCAAAAACAAACCCAAACCCTTCAGTAAGACAGCAAAAGGCCAAAGAGCGCTTCTTTCCAGTGTTTGAAAAGCTGCAGCAGACTGTGATTTAAGGCAGATATAACGATTTGCAGTTTGATTTGCCATTTTGTTTTTTAAAATCAAAATTAAGCTTCAGCTCAAACTTGCAGCACACTTGAAATAAGAGCAGCATAAACACGATGAAAATCCAAACCAATAAACTCAATGCTTTTGATAAATATACAGTTGAAGAGTCAAAATTATTAGCCCTTCTGTGAAAAATTTAATTCTTTGCAAAACCTTTCCAGAGGGTTGCTTAACAGAGCGAAGAGATTTTTGCAACATAATAGTTTTAATAATTAATTTTTAACATCTCACTTTTCTCCCTGATGATAGCGCATGATATATATTTTTACAGGTGTTCTCCTCTGCCTCCTTCTCTTTGAAATCCCCACAAAGAGAGCTGCTTCGAACACTTCCGCGAGACAAGACAAGACCATCATCGGTGATTCCATCGTTCGTCACGATTGTGCAGCTTTTACTAAAGGCAACGATGTGTGCACTCGCTGCTTTCCTGGTGCTCCTGTTAAGGAGGTTTTTGCTAAGGTACCTGCTTTTCGAGAGCTTTGAAGCTGTCGACCTTCACGTGGGGACAAATGACACTGTGCTGTGGCAGTCTGAGCTCCAATCCTGATCGAAATGGTTTGACGCATTTCACCCACAACACAGATCATAGTTTCTGAAGCGCTTTCTGCTTACAGTCGATAAAATTAAAGGTTCAGTAGACTCTTTGAATGAGTCCTAGGCTTTTCCATGCTGATGGCCTGCACCCCAGCAGAGCTGGAGCTGAACTCCTGTCGGACAACATCCCCGGGATGCTTCCTTTTCTTTCACTAGTAAGTGAAAATTCAATTTTAGACTTCTGCTCATCCCACATATCTGACAAAAGTGTCTGTTCCTCGTATTATTGCTGTAGATCAAGAAGTAAATTTACTATGTTCTTTAGAAAAATCTAATAAGACTCAATATATATCAAATACACATTTTTTTTTTAAAAGTTTGATCTTCTAAACCAGGGGTTCTCAACCTTTTGCAAGCTGGGTCCCCCAAAGCTGGTTCATTGCAGCAAGGTTATTATAGTTAACGAAAACAAACGAAAAAACAAAAACTAAAATGTAAAATAATCGTTGTTTACAGAAATAAAAATAAAAACGAGAGTTTTTAAAAAAAAAAACTAGAACTAGGCTAACTGAAACTGTATTGTGTACATACAAAACAAACTAAAACTAAAATTATAGCAAAAACCTTCTTCGTATTTATAAATGTATTTAGTACATAATCTTACTGTAAGCCTTTTTGACGTAAATATTATCCACGCTGCAGGTGTTTGTGTTTGACCCTTTCAAACCTCTCCTGCGTCCACTGGCCAGATCGAGCCAGCTCTCCGCCAGTCATCCTCGCTGTTGCTACCGCGACTAAAACAACGAGTGGACATGACAGCAGCACGGTGACAGCAATAAATACAGACACTTTAAACTATTACTTTAACACATTTGTGCCCAATAATGGGTTTTATTTCTGTATCACAATCGCGAACGAATCTTTTTAACCGGATCTTCTAAGTGAACCGGTTAAACTAGTTCACCAAATCGAACTGAATCATTTAAACGATTCCCGTTTCCAGTAAGCACTTATCCACAAACTACTTACTTTATAAAAAGCCTAATACCCCCTCTGACTCTAAATAATCCAAAATATACTCTCATTCAGTTATTAGAACAGCAACGTTACATTGAGAAGCGGTGAACAGATAATACTACGCATGCGTGATTCAGTGAACCAAACTAAAACAGTACAGCCTGCAGTGTGACTGAACTGAACCAAAGAGCTTAGAATGACCAAAAGGCGTCACTCAATAGAACGTTCCATTGCTATAGCAGCGCCCAGCAACAGCTCTGGATTCCGCCATTTTGGAGTGAAAGTGATCGGCCATCCATTGGATCTCATTACTGTCGCCATGGCAAGTAGCTGCTTTGTTTTTTATTTATTTATTTAAAAAGTGCATTAAAGCAGAGATGCAACCTGAAAGTTGACAATACAACACTTATTATCACAATCATCAGCACTTTTAATAGTTTATTTTACGGACTTATAATATGCTGTTGTTCTATTGTAGTTTCCATTCCAAAATGGCCACCGCGCCCTCTAGTGGCTGTTTCCCAAATTACACAAGTGTGTCGCCTCTTGGTGATTCTATGCTCTTTGACTGAACTGGAACAACTGCAGCGCAAGTAAACCAAGGGGATCTGGTGAAAACGTAAGTTTATTTCATAACAGAAAATCCGAATGGAATTTAAATAAGTAAATAATGATTCAGATGGGTTGCAAAACTTTACTGTAAAGACATTTTTCAGATCATGGAGATGATTTAACTGAATGAAATTACTATTGCTGACAACACAATGTATAGAGTCCTTATATTCGCTAAAAAATCTGAATTTCCCATTACCAGGCCCGGATTATTATTTCAGAGGCCCCTGGGCACAATGTCTTAAAGGCCCCCTATAGCCACACACCATAGTTGAAGTAAAAAATATAAGATTAATATTATAGTTGTTAAATAAAATTAATTTATAATGTATTGCCCGCATGTTTAAAATAAATTATATACAGTACATATATTGCTAGTCTAAAAAGATTTTACTTATTTTTAAAACATTTAAAGCACACATTTTGAAAAAAAAATACTAATACAACTTGTCAAAATAATTGGATTTTAATATACTTGTTCAAGTTCAATGAAGCAGTACTAAAATTTATATTTAAGGGTATTTTTAAAGTATAACTTCTACAAACTTATAATGCACATGATTTGGATAACACCTCTCCAATCCAGTTCTAGAAATTTGAGTCCTCCATAATACACAAATTTATTAATTATTCCCACTTGTCTTCCTCGTGATGAAGAGTATGCAAAATCTAAGTGCGGACTGGCCCCTGGGCCTGTGCCCATAATGCCCATTGGTTAATCCGGCCCTGCCCGTCACTACTGTGTGTCTTACCTCAGGAGCATCCTTGCACAGTTATTGTACTTAAGACTGCTATCTTGTGGGCTGATGTATTTGAGTTTGAGGATGGGTAGATGGTAGGGATGTAATGGTATCAGAATTTCACGGTACGGTAATACCTCGGTATGAATGTCACGGTACGGTATTTATTGAATCATTTACAGAAAAAACAAAATTTATGATAATTGTCACAATCTCGGTCTGATCACTGGTTCGATCTTTGTGGTACTCTTTCCCTTTCACTCGTATTGTTTTGATCACTTATACCCTGCTTTGTTTACCTCTCGCTTCCCCACCCATCTGCTCTATTACTTTCCATTAGTCTATCAAACTAATTTCACTCACCTGGTTTCCTTAATTTCTCTCCCTATTTATCCCTCCCTTGATCATAGTTCTGTGTCAGATCATAGATTTTCCCCTTCCGGCATGTCTGGCAATCTCCTGGTCTAGTCCTGTTCCTTGTTAATTCTGTGAGTTTTATCGTGTCTGATGTCATCCTGTTGATTTCTCCTAAAGTGTTTTTTCTCCGTCTGCCTTCAAGCCTGTTCCCGTCTGTTTTTGTATTGCTGCCCATCTGACTCCCCGTCTCTATCCTGCCAGCCCTCAACTCTCTCTCGCCGGCTTCCAAGCCTCAGTCTTCCTCGTGGCCATTCTGTCCCAGTCAGTGGCGGCCAGATTCATCGCCCCCTGTCGGGTATCAGGGCATTGCACCCTCTTGAAGACTGTTCTTCTAGCCTCTCCGGAGTAGTTTTATTTAATCGTTTTTAAAGACTTAATTTTTTTTTATATCTCAGTTTTGAGTTTTTTGTGAACTTTGGGCTTCTTTGTCAACTCCATTAAGGAGGAATTTTTAGTTTCCTTTTGAAGATTTTTTTGTTGCCAACTTTTTTGCCCCCTGAGTGTTTGGGCTTTAATAAACTTTGCTGAGACCTGCATCTGTGTCTGAACCATCTTCTCTCTCATCCAGACCCTTGACAAAAATACTCCAAAAAAGTGGCAAAAGTGTCAATGACATACAAATTAGCCATCTATCTGTACGCTTTGAAACAGGAACTTCAATTTTAATAACAAAAAAATTATAAAACCATGTAAAAAAATAAAATTTCAATTTAGTATTGTTGAAAACTCAGCCCATTCAACATTTAATCACTCACTTACTCACTTAGATAGAGATGGGTTTTAAGGAAAATTATCATATTACTATAATCTGGTAAAACCTGGTATCTCTGGGCATTTACAATGTCCCCTGCAACAGAAAAAAAACCCTCTCATTTGGGACTGAGGTTTCTGGGACAAGAGAGATATGACTTGGCCCAGGTTAACAGCAGTGGGTAACGTTGTGCATTGTCTTTCCCCCACTTGAGAGGACAAGCCATGTGTGAGATAGAGGTCTCTTTGCGGTACAAGTCAATGTCTGCATCAATCTGAACAGTGTGCTGTGTTTCTGCAGTCCCCATGACTGTTATTAGTCGTATTCCCCAACTTGCAGGCACGTGCACACATAGGGCTCAACCTGTGCAGTGCACATGCCCTTTTTAGTCTTGGATAGAAAATGCCCTTCCAAAATAATCAAAAGTGCCCCCGCGACGTGACACACTCTCCGTCCCGCCCTTCAGTAGGCGCACAATAACACCGCTCTTGAGTATGCACGCTCAACCCCCCCTCTCTGCTTTACAGTATGCGCGCGACAACACAGCTGGTCAGAACGCGCGCGACAACACAGCTGATCAGAACGCGCGCGGCGACAACACCCGCTTTAGGTTCGATAATTTCCAGACTTTCCAGCTCTTTTTCATCCCCGCTGCTAGCAGCACAACTCCATTTCTGCATTACTGGATCTGTAGCGACAACAGACCGCAAAGGATGATGGCCACGCCTGGGCTGATGAGAATTGTAGTTTCTGCTACCTCCCGTTTGCTTCATTCGCCTAAGCAAATTTTCTCAGAAGACCTATAGTTTTACAGAGTCATGTGTCTATGGTAATATCGAAAAAAATTGCTATTGCGGTATGACGGTATTTACAATACCATTACATCCCTAGTAGATGTTAGTGGTAGATGATAGTGTTCATGTGTTCTCTGAATACATGTTTGAAAAAATGTATGACTGAGTTTGACCTGTTGATTGACCTGTTGATTTTGAATCTTGCACTTAACAAATATCCTCATTTAGAAAAAAAATAAAAACTAGTACTGAAACAAATAAAAACTAAACCAAAACTAAGACATTTTTAAAATATAAAAACCTAAATATATATATAACTACAATAAAATTTGTAAAAAACTATAATAAAATTTATTAATTCATTCATTTTCTTTTCGATGAATAATTTTCAATAGCACTGGCAAAACTACCACATACTTTTAAGGCCATAGAGACACTTTTTGTTAATTTTTAAACAATACTTTCAAGCTTTAAAATGTTTAACTAAAGTATATGATGGAAAGTTTTAAATTTGGGGTTTTATTTACATATTTTACACTGTTTTTCTTATTTGCTCATTGTTGTCTATACAATATTTTATAATATTGTCTATACAATATTTTATAATAATTTTACAAAGAAGACAAGAACACTGTCAGTGAACAAATAATAAAATATTTGTATTTGAAATATAACATTTTTGAAATATAACAAAATATATATTGTTACGATTGACCGGGAGGATGGAGGCAAAAAGTGTCACATAAGCCGCTGGTGAAAGTGAAGAGTGATTTATTTTACACAAAGTGAAGACAAAAATCCAGCAAAAAGGTGAACGTGACAAAATAACAATAAAGAAAAATAAACTATACAATATTTACAAAGTATTTTACAAGATTGTTCAGCTAAATCAAAGTTATGACCTCAACAAAAATCTGTTAAACAATCTCTTGCACAATACAATCTTTTCCTACAACTACCCACACAGAGTGAAGGTTTGGGGCCATTTTATAGTATTGGTCCCGCCCATGGGTTCAACCATTTTACGGGTTGTAGGTTAACATGTAGACAAAAAATACATAAAAAGACATTAAACAAAAGTATAAATTAATGCAAGTAAATGAATATGCATACAAAACTCAAAAAACAACACAACAAATAACCAATACAAACTTAAACAACAAAACTATGATTTTTATTCACTGACCAGGGGGTCGTGACCCTGATGATGTTATGGAAAATGGCTGCTCCAAAGTGAAGACGGGAAAATCTGTATAAATGGCTTTGTTTGAAATTTAAACAGGTTTGCTGCTGTGAAATGGAAACTGGTAAGTGTATGTAAACTTTCTATGTTTGGTTAATAAATGATGTTTAAAAGAAATGGTGTCAGTGGTTATTTGAGTGTGAAGGGGAAGATGATATGGGCTATTGTTTGAAATGAAAGTGAGATTTTTACACAAACACAACGCTACTCTTGACAATTAACAACATATACACATTACACAAACACATGCAAAATACAGATAAGACTACAAAGATTATGTTTTACACTGTGACACACAAACACACACACACACACACATATATATATATATATATATATATATATATATATATATATATATATATATATATATATGAGGCGCCGTGTAGTATTTAAATCAAACTTTGCTTATCAACACACACATAAACACGTGCCTATACACCTATAAATTACTCACATATACACCTATACTATTGGATGTTCAAAGCAACATATATGAAACTTGTGTATATACATATAAACTTGACGCACGCATACACCCACTCACACACGCGCATACATATAAACTCCATCTATGCATACACACCCACATTAACACACGCGCATACATATAAACTTCATCCATGCATACACACCCACATTAACACACGCGCATACATATAAACTTCATCCATGCATACACCCACATTAACACACGCGCATACATATAAACTTCATCCATGCATACACCCACATTAACACACATGCATACATATAAACTTCATCCATGCATACACCCACATTAACACACGCGCATACATATAAACTTCATCCATGCATACACACCCACATTAACACACGCGCATACATATAAACTCCATCTACGCATACACACCCACATTAACACACGCGCATACATATAAACTCCATCTATGCATACACACCCACATTAACACACGCGCATACATATAAACTCCATCTATGCATACACACCCACATTAACACACGCGCATACATATAAACTTCATGCATACACACCAACATTAACACACGCGCATACATATAAACTCCATCTATGCATACACACCCACATTAACACGCGCATATATATAAACTCCATCCATGCATACACACACCCACATTAACACGCGCATACAACTCCCAACATGCATGAACACCAATTAAACAGTAGAGCAAACATCTAAAACAAGATATACAAAGTTGTGTATATGCATAGAAATCACCTGCATATATGTGGATGTGCGTAACTTATCAGTGTGAACGGAAGGCATGTCAGTTCAAACGGAAGGCATTAAGTGATCTTTTTCTCGTGCAAATCAACATGAATTTCAGAGTGATCTTGTTAACCGTGGCGTTTGTCGGTGCTTTATTTACTTGTGCCAATTGCAATGAAGATGATATAGTCGATTTCTTAATATTGTATTATATTGCTTAACGCGTATACAGCAAGAGCCGAGAGAGTCGCTTTGTCGCGACTTGGATAATCATGCCAATACAATTTACAGCCTTTTGTCCGTAGTTCGTAACGGAAATCCCCAATCTAGAGAATGCATCTTAATTCTCGAGACGCTGTACCGCACACTGCGCCAAATAACATCGCTTGAAATTGGAAGAGGTGTCTCAGCAGGAGCAGTCCCACCACCGACATCTAGAACAGGCCACAGAGGTCGTCCCCGCTATGACATTTCACATGAGCAGCTTTGCCATTGTCTGCGACTTGGGTTTAACTGGCAGGGAATTGCTTCCTTATTAGCAATAGACCGCCGCACTTTGTTTCAACACAGGCAGCGTCTTGGAATCAGACAGTTGGAATTTGCAGAGCTGTCTAACAATGAATTAAAAACACTTGTCAGAGAGATTTTACAAAGAACCCCAAATGCAGGCGAGACCTACATTCTGGGCAGTCTCCGGTCTCGCTCCATCCGCATCCAGCGTCGGAGGGTCCGACAAAGTTTACATGAGATAGATCCTATTGGAAGGTCACTAAGGCGCCGACGTGCTGTCAGAAGAAGAATTTATTCTGTGCAAACACCTAACCAATTGTGGTATGTCCAGCAGTTTGACAACTTAATTGAAATGTACATTAGTAAATTAAGGGTTAACACTTTATAATATCTACACACTATGAATCATTTAGACTACTACGCATATCATAGTGAATTCATTATCTGTTAAGCATTAACTCTACATTTATAAACGTTAGTAAGCAGTTTATAACTGCAGCTACAAATGCTGTATTGGGTTATAACCACATCGATAATGTGCTTACTAATTGTATTTTCATACTTTGTTAATGATTTATTTTTCATTACTAAATGAAGTATTGCATTATTTACAAACCATTTGTTTTCAATAGTAGCCTATGTGGTTAAGATTTTTCAGAATGAGTTAGTAAATTATTAATAAACTATTGAAATCAACGCTTATATATTCGTATTATTCAGGCACATATTAATGCTTATATATGTTAATAATGCTTTATTAACTAAACTTCATGCAGTTTTGTGACTTAAAGTGATGACTATTCATGCTTTATAAATCCCTTATAATGACAATTATAGGCTCAGTATCAAAAGAAAAATAATATTTGCAATAAAATAAAATTACTGTAAAGTTCAAATATTGCCAAATAACAGGAGTGTCAAAATACAACATATTTGGATAAAACAACATCAATATAATAATTTAACATAATTTAACAATATAATAGGATGCAAAGTTTAAACTTTACATTAGTTTTTATTTTAGATAAGGTTGCAAAGAATTTTTTCACATGTGTATCTTCAAACAAATAGGAATGAATAATGTAATTTATGTAATTTTTCCTTTTTCGAATTTAACTGAGCCTTTAATAGTCAGTTATACGGGATTTATAGCATAAATAGTCCTCACAGATTGTCACAAAACTGGATGAAGTTGAGTTAATAAAGCATTTCTTAACACACAAATTAACTATTAGTATATGCCGGAATAATAAGAATTATAAATGTAAATTTGAATA